AAAAAAAAATCCCCCGTATTTGGCTGCGAATTTCGAGACGATCCTCAGCCAAAAGATTTTTCTATTGCAGTGCTGCATACAGTGCATACAATGCATAGTATATCTTTTTTTTTCTGGATTTTTTTTTATAAGTTGGATTTTTTTTTTCAGGGTAGGGGGGCAGATCGGGACGCTCTGGGCCGGACACCAGACCCGGACCATCCGGAGTCAGACTGTCCGCACTGCGATCCGGACGTGGTCTGGATTGCAGCCATGGTTATTCTTTTCCTCACTCTCATACTGATACAACTAAATGAACCACGAGATTAGAACCTGATTTCCCGTCCTGTATCTGTATTATCAAAGAGTCTCAAAAGCAATCACATTCATGACCGATCTTTGCTGACAAGCATAAAGAAATTTAAGAAATATTAAAGATGCATCAGCTCGTTAGTAGAATCTTTACACATCTTTTTTTTTTTTTTTTTTTACACACACCAAATACATGTTTCCATGTTTCATTATTTGTCAGAGTTGGGAGGTGGAAGCTGTCAAGTCGATTGGATATATCAAACAAACACTAAATCAATATCACCTTTCCATGTTTCCAGCTTTCAATGTTTCCAGTCGTTCCCATCTTTTTTTTTTCTTTTTCTTTCATAGGTTCCATTGAATCACAAGCGTCGACTTCGGGCAAACGAAATCCCCATGGTGTGTGTGACGAACCCGGGACGTGCGAGTTAATATGATTCTGATTCTGTTGATGAAGAATTCATCTGACATAGGTGAAAAGTTGACAACAGGACCAAGATATGAGACCTTGAGAGAGCAGTAAATTACTAAATAGTAAATTGCGCATTCCTGTCTCTTATACTCCTCACTGCAGACGTAACAAGAAGTGCTTTAAACTTCAAAGTTTAAACCAGTACTGGTACACGGCCCCAGCCTTGCTTGCAGTCTGAAACTTGTCGCCACAAGAAAACGAGCGAGGCCGAAACGTCAAACGCTGGGCCCGCCGCTGATAAAATTGAATTGGCGGTAGCGTTTTTGTTTTTTTGCGCTTCCAGAATATTTTAGCTGTCAGGCCCGCGGCGCTTCCAGAGTATTTTAGGTGTCAGGCCAGCGGCCCAGGTGCGCCCTTGTACGGGTGCTGTAAGATGACAAGAAGATTTGTATCTGCAGTCATAGAAATCAAAATGACAGAGCGAAAGAGAAAAATAGGAAAATTTTCATCAGCCAACAATCCAATTGCGCAAAAACAACACACAGTATATACTATAAAGGGCATATGTACTCTGTCCGACATTAGCGTAGCGTAACTCGTCTGACTACCTATAGAGTACGACTACACAGTAGATAGGTCATATTTACTCTATCCAACCTCAGTTAGTTACTGCACTATACTAAGGTTGGACTGATTACATATGAACTATATAGACTGTGTAGTTGAGCTGTATAGCATAGAGGTCGTCAGACGAGTTGAACCTATTTTAGTACAGCCAGACTATAACAAACAAAAAATCCGACTCAGGACTGCGCATGGATTGCAGTAATCGAATTCACGTTCAGCAATGAGCTAAGCATAGACTCTCTCTAAAAAAGAACCCTATAATGGCTGATCACCTCTCTAGAAGTTCTAGTGAATCAGTGGTTCCGCAATCGCCGAAAACGAGAACACAGGCAGCAACAAAGAACTATGTGCGATATGCAATAAAGGGGAAGCGGAGGATGCAAAGAAGTACTGCCCTCTTCTGCATTTCGATGAGGCGGTGGTGGGACCGCATATGGGAACGGCTAGGGACCTCCCACCCCTGGGTGTGGGAATGGAGAGCGGTCCCATGTGAAACATGGCACCCGGAGCATACCAGCGACTTCACACTGAATCTGTGTTCAAAGTTCGCCGGCGGCCGGTGTTCTGGACCATCTGGTGGAGATGCTGTATCTTCGAGATGGAACGAGTATGGCGCCCAGAAATTCACAGATGCCGTCAAACAGCGTGTCCAAATGGACATGACCACTCACTGGCAGGAACTGAAAGCCACATTGTGACCTCTGCACTCTAAAACAGAAATCCAATCACGTATCCAGCAATTCAACGAAAAATGGCTTGCCGGGGACCGAGGGGGTTGGTTGGGGAGGGTGGCATGGGAGGGGCAACAAGGGGACTGCCAGGGGGGACATGGCTAGGGGCTACCATCTTTCTTTTCATGAATGGACGCAGATTGACCCGTAAATCCCTCTCCAACCTGCCTCAG